AAGCAGGAGCTAGGGAGAATGTTTTATAAGGGGAATACATGCAGTGTGCAAATATTCACAACTTCATAAAAAATTTATAAAGCTGACCACTTTAAATGCACAATAGCCTCCCAAAGCTTTCCTATGGGAAATAATAAAGCTGTGCTGTGCAGCTCCAGCGATTGCTTTGTCTTGCTATATGCATATGTTTGTTTGTTTGTTTTTTGCATTGCAATAGGCCATAGAGTCTTTAAGATCCAATTCCTTATAAAGCTTGTAAGTAGCACTTTATGTTATGTTATTTCTGCACAGTTCATCTTAATGAAGTGTTATTGGTAGATAGAAGCTTTGGCGACCTTAAAACTGAATTTGGTAAATTTAAATTGAATTTAGCACATTTTGGAATATATTTGAGAGACTCTCAAGTCAGGCCAGATTATTCACTGATCTTGGAATTGTCAGTAGTTGACCAGGCAATTGCACATTTTATTCCTAAAATGAAAACATAGCGGAGTTTAATTAAATTTTGTAACATTTAATTCTTTAGTTTATAATCCTGTGCGGATTAGTCACTTTAAACTTTAGCAAACTGAATTCTAAAATTATGGGGTTCCTCCAAATATCATAATAAGTACAGCCTGCACTAATAGTTATGATGTGATGAGTATTCTAATCCCATTCCCTGGTAATGGGGCAAATCTCTTTGCAATGTTTTGCCCTCTTACCTGGCTTCATGCTGAGTACAGAGAGTCCACTATTGCCAGTGTTGCACACGATGAATGTCAATCTCACCAGGCATTGATTGGTCAAGAGTCAGCTGATTTCTTTCATCAATGGATGATATTTCATGCATAAAAATATGCACAGAATTGATATTAGCCAGCTGAGTGGGCACAATGAACACTTTACATATCTGAAGTAGTTAGAGTGCTTGGAGTAAATCTTTAAGACTATATTAGTTGATGTGGATAAATTAATATTCAACACCAGCCCTTATTACATATTGTTTAGCTTTGATTTTGCAATTCAAAATTCTATTCATTGCATCTGTAATTTAATGAATGAACATTAGGGTTGTTAGCATTGTAACAGAAGGGTTATTAACGAAACTCCATATTGTGCCAAATCAAAAGTAAAACAGATGATTAGGAAAAGTTCTGTTTCAGGGATAACAACCTGTGCAGTTGCAGTGCTTATTTTTCCATAAACCAGGCAATGGCAAACATGCTTTAGGTGACCAAACAGTATCAGTGTTCAACATGATTTCCAATTTCTGGTATTATTTCTATGTTTGATTCATTATAATCACTGTTTAGTATGTAAATTCCAAACTGTTATTTTTGGTTTGTATATAAAGCTTTAAGAAACATACTGATTTTGGAATTGCTGTTTTTTAATATTAAACTTTAAAAAACATTTATTTATATAAATGTATCATTACCTTACATGTGCAAATTGTATAATTTTTGAAAGCATGTAATTAGAAACTTTCCAACATTTCATTTTGGAATGAAGATTCTGAGAGCCTCCTAATAGTCATTCCAAATGCTATAGTACTTTTTGCACGTTAAGTCAAGAATGTAGTAGAAAATGCTGTCTTAAGGTTCATTTCTGCAGAAACAGGAAGTATGCGTTATTTAGTGCATACTTGAGTGCTAGTTGCGTGAAAATTGCGAGGTTTTTGCAAATTATTATACAAATCCCAGCACTGAAGTGATTAAGCAAGCTGAACACATGGAACTGATAGTGAAGACGATGAAGAACAAAAACTCATCGTCCCACACTTTCATCAATCATTAGGAATGTCTCTAGAAGACCACAGCAGCTCAAAGAAACTTAGACCATGTGGACACTCAATCTACTTTCATAGATGTACTTTGACAATACAACACCCATGCCTAGAGTTATTGTACAGTGAATAGTTTCTGTGCATTCTTGCGTAGAGTAACATGTCTGGATTTTAATCAGATCCTGATAGTAACATAGAGGTCTGAGAAAGCATGTGTCAAAATCCTATACGCCTGGAAAGTCAAAACTATTTTAAAGTGATAGACACAACGACAAGCACCAACAAAATATATAATAATAAATTACATAATAATATTAATAATAATAATACAATGTATAAAATAGTAAGAAGCTACTTAATGAAGTTTCGCATCCTCCTCCCAAAGCTACTTACCGCTGCCTGCTGGAAAGCTCCCTTGGTGTAGGTCCCTCCTCCTTTATAGGTGATGGCAGGTATCTCTCTATTGAGCAAGGAGCACTTGTGCTGATGGGACTGGTTGGATGAGATGTAATCTACCCTGGTCTGCACGCTGTGTTTAGATGCGTAGGTGACAATGGCCACTCTGGTGGCAGAAGGTACCACGGGGAAGTCAGAGAGCAGCTTCTTTACGAACCTCAGCTCATTGACGAAGTTTGCGTGGCCCACGCTTGTAGACTCATCCACTAGGAAGACAAGATCCAGGTTCTGACTCTTCTCCCTCAGTCTCCTGATATTCTTTTTGAAATACTGTCCCATCTTCTCCACCCTGTTCTCAGAGCTATCTGTGGGCTCCTGGGGCTGCTTCCCCCATTCTGCTACAAGCTGGAAAACTTGCGAGGGGGAGCTCTTGTAGGCTGGGACCTGGTGTTGAAAGCTTGTCCAGCTGCAAATCGTGGAAAGGCAGCAACAAAGACAAGCCAAGCGCAACATTGTCACCTGGGCAGGAGACAATGGGCTATAGTTCTTCTGAAAACAGCAAGAACAAGCACTTTCCTCTTTTTTTCTGCCCCCTCAGCTATTAAAGAGTTCTGCTTGCTACAGCCTGTGAGGGATCCAAAACTAATGTTCCATTATCCTTGTTTAAGCAGGGCTGCAGATGTGAGCTGTGATAGAGCACAGGCAGTGAGAGGGGGCTGCTGGCTGCATGCTCTGCTCATGTGCTGTGGGTTACAAATCACAATGTCCTTCCCTCCTCTTCATTCTTAAAAAAAAAAAAAACTCTGCAAGAAAAAGGGCCAGTCCCAACACAATCTCTATCTATTCTTTCTCCCTCCTCCTTTTCTCAATTATTTAAACCACACTTCATATCCACTCTCTCTGTTTCTCTGGCAGTGTTTCATACCTTTTTTTTTAACTTCCCATTTTTCCTGCTCTTCTTTTTCCAAAACCTTCCTTCCTTTACCCCCTCCTCTGTTCATGTCTGATTTGTTGAGCTTCCTTGTCACCCGAGCTTTATGTCTGTTAGGCTGTCAACATTCCCTAAAGCAAACATCAGCACCAAAGCCCTTGATTGATCCCATATGTTTGGCATAGAGATCTAGAGGCATTCAGAAGACATTGCTTCAGATACCAAGAGTGCCACTGTGATTGAAAACACTTTAGTAATAACACTTACTGGGGTTGTCTAGTATTCACTTTGAGTAGTGTTGTTCACCTCAAGCTTTTCTTTAGGACTTGAGTAAGAATTTGCACATGTTAGCTAAAGAGTGTACCTTATTGGATTAGGGATTTCTTAAAATAAATTCCTGCTATATCTGACATCAATTACAGGTATTTTGTTATATATCAGTAGTTGAAGGTTGGAGTCACTATTGATTCATACAAATCCCTACTGCCCCATGAGAAAAATAAAAAGTTAAACAAAGATTTAAAAATAAATCATGTATTTTTAAATAAAAAGTAATTCACTTTCAAAAAAATATATGACTATGAAGTTATTTTGAAAAGATTAATGGTAATGTGTATGTTCATATTTATATAATAAGCATTATAATTTAAATCCTAACATTATTGGGATTGCTTGAAAATCACTTTTGGTGACTTGTTTAGGGTTTCTTAACTCCCACATCTATACAAGATATGTATTTAGGGGTTTATTTGCTGAATTCTGAGTACAGTAAATTCAAATTTAAATTGCTAAAATTAGGCAGAACTGGTTTAATTGAAAAAAAATACAAATTCTGACCAAAGTTTGCAATACAGATTTCAATTCCATGCAATTCAGTCTTTGGAGAACAAACCCCAAAGTGAAGACTGTGACACATATGCTCGCTTTTAAAATGTACAAATTAGAATGTACATCTATATGTACAATATATGACAAGTGTATATTACTTTACCAATTATTCTGAGAACTATCTCAATTGTTTCAGTAACCTAGTTAGTCTTTATACTGAATTCTATACATATCCTTTTTCAGTTTATTATGCCAGTAGTTATACATAACCCTTTACATATATGTGTGTGTGTGTGTGTGTGTGTGTGTGTGTGTGTGTGTGAATTCATGCAAATAAGGGTGACCTGTGTCTGATGTGCACATGTAAAGTGTTGAATAGAATTATATAGAAAACAAATAAGCTCTTATATGGGAATAATTAACTAAAAACCAAATATATATGTATTTTCTTCTTTACATTTGTCAAACTAGTAAATAATATGTACATGTGGCTTATAGAAATAATTTCTATACTAAACAGTTATTGTTTTAATATAAAGGAAGTACTTACCTACTATATTCACATCACTGTATTTAGTTATGGCAGGTAGGTCTGTTCTATACAACAGAACAAAGTAGGGAGTGTTTAACTGAACATTACCACCCTCATAATAGCTTCAGTTAACTGTAGTTATTATGGGGGTAGGCGTGTCTTGAATCCTTGTTAGATTCAGGGGTTAACCTGTTTCTCAGTGTATTAAAACAAAACTTGATCCTTTGTTACCCAACACAACTGCCCCACACCCCGGCTTCATTCCTCTCTGCTGCCACTGTATGAGGAAGGTTTTGATGATCAACTGGTGATAGGTTTAGAGGGTCAGCTCATGCTCTCAGGCTATTACTGGCTTCTCAGTGAGAGAACTAGTACATATTGAACAAGAACATTGTGAAGAAAAAACTCACAATGACTGTGTTCAAATAAATTTAGAAGATATTCATGAGACAAAGTAGAGACTATTTTTCCTCACTTTGGCAGGGCCTACACTACCATAAGGCAGCACAGGCAGCCGCCGTAAGGCGCACTGGCCCTGGGAGCTTAAGTAGGATAAGATTTTGCCAAATCCTACCAATTTCTAACAGTTGTCTCTTAAGTGGATAGGCATCATAGTATGAGACGTATATAATATAGACCCTTGGTTGTGTAGATCACGCAGGTGCAGAAATTTATAGTAAATAAGAAAAGGAACTTATCTCTTTTTCTTTTTATGGTATAAACCAAGGATTCCTCTCTATCCTTGTACAAAGTAGGAAAAAAAGCAAAATATAACTAAAAATAAATAATGGAGAAAACACTCATAGGTTAATAACATGTATACAATGAGCCCCCTCGGTTAAAGGTTGCACTCACAAAATGACTAAGAGTTCATGCTTTTCACAAAAATGTCGCTCCCACCAGACTCCAGTATAGTATTCGGCAATTTAAGCCAGTCATGTGGAAAGAAAGTGCAATATGATTTCAAATTAAAGATACACTTTAATGGTTACACTTACAATATAGAAATTCAAAGCAAGCTCATCAGTCAACTCCTTAGTCCCTCGTCCAGATGGTAGAAACACAATTGTCTGGGATAGTCAGGAACCAGGAACAAAACAAACATAAAGAGCAGTAAAATACAATAATATAAAATAAAAACTAACTCAACGCGTTTCGTCCAGTTAAGCTGGACTTCCTCAGGAGTTAAAATAAAGTGCTTTCATGTGCATGAATAAAGTGCTATTGTATACATGTTATTACCCTATCACTTTTTTGTCCATTATGTATTTTTAGGTATATTTAGCTTTTTTCATATTATGAGATGTGCAATAGATAACTATGGCATCACAAGGCTCAGGTGCCAAAGATCCAGATGAACAAGAAGATGCTGGCATAAAGGAGTGAAAAGCTCAGGTAAGTATATCTTCCAGTCCCTCTATCCCCAGGTTCCACCTTCTAAATGAACGTGTCACCTTGGGGGGTCTTTCACACAAAATGCAAAGGCACAAATAGCAGGCCTGCATTTTCCATGGCTTGCTGTGGATACAGGAATGTCTGGAATGCTACTGAAATCTTTAATTATAATTCTGACTACTAATCAGGAAACTCCTTATCAATGAGATTCAAGGTTTTTATAGGGTTGGTTATCTCACAGGAGCTGTATCAGTAATAATCATAGCATTTTGTAGCATAACAAGGGTCGTCAGAGCATTCTGAATTTTCCAAATTATATTAATATACAACTATAATATCAGAATTTCAAAATAGTTTAATGCAAACATTCTCTTTACAGCAAACAGGGAGATCTAAATGAATACCAGATGGTATTTTCATAGATTATACTTTGCAAGTTTTAGCTGTATACTGAGGATCCAAACATTCAGTTTTCATTTGTGGTAACAGTTCCCAGCTGGATTTCATCATACCCATCATTGTTAAGTACTTATTTTACAGCCGTTAACACAGCAGATATTCCACGTACAGCGTTATCTTGCAAAGCACAATTGGGTACCTTTATCACACACACAATATTAAGTGATGACAACTTGGAATCTGGCTGTGTGCTTTATTCTAAAGTAAGCAGAGCAATTGTACTATGTTACTTGTATCTGCTACATTCAGATAATGTAACTATTGTTTATTTCATATTTAATTTATAGAAAGTAATATAGTTGATACAAAAGGGTGATAATTTGTAGATCACTGCAGCATGACTTAAAGATACGTAAAAAATAGACTTGGAGATTTTTTTTCTGATCAAACTTCAATTTGGGCTGATTGTGTGATCAACTGAAATTGTGATTTTCTAGTTTAAAGAGTCCTCCCCCTACCCTGCTGGTTGCCCCATCACACAGACTGCTGTTTTTCAAATCACTACTGTTCCTCCTGTTGGCCACAGTGGACATGATGCTTTATCTGACGAGGCACACGAGTCGTCGTCATGACATCATGAGTAGTGATGTACCGAACGGTTCGCCGGCGAACGGTTCCTGGCGAACATAGCATGTTCGCGTTCGCCACGGCGGGCGAACATATGCGCGGTTCGACCCGCCCCCTATTCGTCATCATTGAGTAAACTTTGACCCTGTACCTCACAGTCAGCAGACACATTCCAGCCAATTAGCAGCACAGCCTCCCTAGCAGACCCTCCCACCTACTGGACAGCATCCATTTTAGATTCATTCTCAAGCTGCATGCTTAGTAAGAGGAGGGAAAGTGTAGCTGCTGTTCATAAGATAGGGAAAAGCATAGCTAGGTTAGGGATAAGGGTATGCTTTTTTTGGATTTTTTTTTTCTATCTAATGTAAATGCACTTAGTTGTCTGCCACTGCTGCCAGCTTCTGTGTCAGGCTCACAGTGCCCATTTCCCCAGTCAGTGCCACCAATTACATCTGGTGTCACAATAGCTTGGATTTAAAAACAAAAAACTTTTTTCACTGTTATAGATTGAATAGCAGTCAGTTGTCTGCCACTGCTGCCAGCTTCTGTGTCAGGCTCACAGTGCATACTGTGCCCATTTCCCCAGTCAGTGCCACCAATTACATCTGGTGTCACAATAGCTTGGATTTAAAAACAAAAAACTTTTTTCACTGTTATAGATTGAATAGCAGTCAGTGTCCTTAAAGCGGGTGTGTTACGCTAACAGTGGATACGGTGACCAGTGCCACCACTTAGATCTGGTGACACATAGTTTGGATTTAAAAAAATAATCTTTTTCACTGTTATAGATTGAATATGTCAGTGTCCTTAAAGCGGGTGTGTTACGCTAACAGTGGATACGGTGACCAGTGCCACCACTTAGATCTGGTGTCACAATAGCTTTGATTTAAAACAAAAAAACTTTTTTCACTGTTATAGATTGAATAGCAGTCAGTGTCCTTAAAGCGGGTGTGTTACGCTAACAGTGGATACGGTGACCAGTGCCACCACTTAGATCTGGTGTCAATAGCTTGGATTTAAAAACAAAAA